GGTTTTAGAAAAGAAAAGTCCGCTAACTTCTTCTATGCTTCCTCTCCAGAGAGCTTATTGAGGCAAAGTGACGAGCAAAGATTCGGACTATGCCAATTAATTACATGAGTGGGAAAATTTGTCATGATTCTGTTCGTCCAGACACAGCGTTTTTAAGTGGGAGAAATAATTAGTCTCCACTTCTGCATCATTTTAAGTGTCTGAAAAAGAAGCCAGAGGGACTTCTTTAAGTTTTCTGTAAGTCCTATTGCCTTTTCAGGATCTTTATATGTGGTGTTATAGTTCTTAGTACAACGGAATTAGTGATAACGTGATCATTGAAGAATCACAAATTAATTAGTTTGTGGTGTTTTTTAAGGTCACTTATCACCAGTGGAACCTTTGAGTTGCCTGACTTGCTTTAACCAGAATTAATGATCGACAGATTGATTCTTAACATTACAGTTTGTTTTATAGGTGCGTGTGTTTATATCAGAATGTCACAAACAGTTACATGATACATGGTTTTCACTGTCACTGCTGTCCATGTCGGAGTTTTACTTTGGCTGGAGCTCAGCCAGCTTCATACTCACATGCACATCATTCCAGGTGAAAATAATTCAAATCGTGTGGTTGCAGCTGTTCCAAGAACAGTAACCAACAAGTTAAAACAGCACTATTACATAATACAATAATTACAAAAATCAAAAAAGATTACAGCAAAGCTCTAAGAAATACATATCCCAATATATTACACAAAATGAATGTGGATAAAGTTTGAATTGAGGTGCCTCTCTTATAAGACCGTATTACTACCTACGATGATAATCAAGAAAAGCAGATATTGTGACAGGCTGAAAGGTTCAGCACATTAAAATGACAACTTTTACTGTATTTCAAAACAAAAACTATCAAATAAGTATTTAAAACGTTGGCATGTTTATAAAATGCAATGCTTTTCTATAAAACTCACTTGGATGGCGTCCTGAAATAAATGACAAATCAGTTAACAGGGAATTCAGCTGCAATAGCGAATACTTAGAGGTCAACTCCGACCTAACTGACAGCATGAGTCCGTTTCAAACGGCGACCTCAGATATATTTTTGTTTCATTTGTCTGATTATGAAATGTTCCTCATTTAGTTTCAGGTCCGATCTGCATCAGCGGCTCTGAGTCTTCAGAGATGATGTTTCTGTGCTGAACACGTATACTGCCTCTAACAGACCGACGAGTGGACGAGCGGCGAATATGTGGAGGAGGAATGGACAGCACTGGAAGGGAACTGCTGTTATCACTGTTTCTTTTCATCTCGCCGCTGGTGTCCAGATGTGATGAATCTTCTTCTGTGGTCTGTGAGGAGCTGTCAGATGTTGTCAAGGCCTCTGGTTTGAGGTTGTCGTTGTTGTGATGAGACTTTGGAGAGGGGGGGATTGTGGGATTTGAGATGCTTGATGAGGATTTGGAGTAATATGTACGGTCGCTTGTCTGGATGACCGGACTCTGCCTTTCATCATTCGTACCATGATTATCGAGACTCCATTTTTGTCTTTTCACTGTATGAACACAAAAAAACAAAAATAATTAGCATCTGTTTCATTCCTGACATTTCAATGTTCTTATTACACACACAAACTGTTATGACAAAGCCAACCTAAATTCAGGCTAAAATCCAGGTGCTTCTTACCATATGTATATTTTTTCCTTTTATTTTTTATTAATTTTTTTGCTTTTCCTTCAATTGTTTGATGATTCATTGAACTGAATTAGCAGTTTTAAAAATAACGCCTAGAAACTGACTTACCAGGGCAGCTGTGTTTCTTCACTAACTGCACAATACATGAACAGATGACAGTGGCTGTTAAGGTGGTTAAAACTGTAATTACAATGGTTACAGTGAAGGACTCCTGGTATCCATCTGTAATCACAAAAAAAGAGATTGAACCTGAAAAAAGGGATAGCATTTCAATAAAAGAGGAGGAACCTGCATAATTTCATAGCTGCTTTATCAGCACATTTTACCACTCAATAAATGTTGTGTGTCTGAATAGCTAATGGATAGTGAAGCATAGACACAGCTAATCCAGGTGTTTGATTAAAGCTACCTGGCAGGTAAATCTCTGAGTCCCTCGTCTGATGTATCTCCGGCTGGTGGACCCTGCAGGTGACCCTGGGACCAAAACACACACATTTACATCTTATTCAAAATGTGCACCAGTGGGGTTAGCGTGAGCGAATTTAACGGATCAATTCTAAATTCTTGAGAAGGCATCAGTTGAAAGATGTAATTACACACTAATCAATGTATATTTACAAGTACAACTTTGTTTGAAGTAAACAAACTAAATGATCAAGATAAAAATTCTCCAACACATCATTCAGAATATAAACTTGTGGTAAGTTTTAATTTGATATTAAACCTGTTGGTAGCAGTCTGCAGAGACACTCTTCCTTTGACCGT